ACAGAACAAGATGGAGGAAGTTAAGAATATAGCAACTACTTAATGTTTCATAGTACAAGAATGTAGCAAACATGGACGGGGGGTGTCAAAGCAATTTCTTATGAGGGACGTGTAGACTACTCTGGCATCCACTATAGACGAAAAAAGCTTTGAAAGAGCAAAGCATGCACATTATCCTGTAGAATTGAAAGAGCTGTGAGATGAACAGACATTCAAGCTGAATGTAGTACCTTGTCAAACTAAGGCTGAAACTTGCCTCTGCAGAAATTAGATAGTGTCCAGGTGGCATTTCGCAACAATGATAGTTTGCATGCTCATTTAGCTGAACCAGCAAGGGACCTAGAGCTCCATGACCAAGAACAAGATCACGGCATTTTGGGGAATCACCAACCACATTTCACGGAGCCCATACAGCCTAATGTAGTTAAAAGAAAATTAAGGAATAAGAGATAAATAACAATAAAATTCAATTATATCATGCAGCATTCAAAATCCAGAAAGTAATGCAAGGCATTGAACATGATTCCAAACTCCAGAAGAGGAAATTTCTTTATCATTCATCAAAGATGTACATGTTCACGGAATCATCACTGGGGAACTAAGAAGCTGTGCAAATATGGGAACAACACCACTGTCTATTACAACCTTAGTGTGCTTAGATGTCGCAGAAGCAATGTTTGTGAGAGCCCAAGCTGCCTCAAACTACAAATTTGCAAAGGATGGAAAAAGATATTTATACGTAACACCAAACAAATATAATCTTCATTTTCTAACGCAGAATAGGGAAGAATGAGCTTGAAGCTGAAGTTGAGGAAATCCCCCCTAATAAGATAATGAACAAAATGAGGGACAACATCAGCTTGAATCACTTCCTGAATCAGCGGACTTTGTCCAGGTAAAAGGATTAACAGCAATACTGGAACATAGGAATCAAAGATACAACAAAAAATGATGATAGCAATAGTCTAAAGAAGCAGTGAAAACCTATGGAAAGCAATTTCCTAAATTGAGGGGTTGCCTCAAGTTATAGATTAGCCATCATCATCTGTCAAACACCAGAAACTATTGCTTGTAGATTTTCTAGCTGCAACCAAAACCCATAACCATTCCAAGCATTAGAGTTAATGCTCAACATAATTTCCAATTCAAAATCAAAATGTGCAAAGTAACAAAAACTAAATTAAACGCATAGAAGCCAAAATTAAAAAAAAAAGAGGAAAATCTTCACACTCGTAATCAAAATATGCAATTAAAAGCTTTGAATACAACAAATTTGAACAAAAGAACTGTGACAACTAATTGCTGAAGTCAAACAAGGCCATCAAGTTTCAAAGTTTCCATCAAATTTTATTCATTTTAAAATTCAAACTATTGTCCGATGGTTCAATTATTTAAGCTTTCCGTACTCTCCTATTGCAACTATTTCTCTTGTATACTTTCAAGGAAAGAGCTGAAGTGTAAACCCTCGCTCTATTCAAACACAAGGAAACTTAAAACTAAATTGTGTAAATCTAGCCCATAAACAACACAATCACAAATTTAAATTCGATCACAACCTAGTTAAAGCCATCTGCAACAACTTTAAAGGAACAAAATAGAAATTCTAATTTATTTAGACCTTTTTTTCGACAGAAGAAGTATAAGATTGAACAACAAATGCATTCTGCAGGTGTGACGGCCCCACCTTCCCCTAAGGCGAACCAAAGGATTCGGCGGACCGCCTGCCCAGGGTCTCGCCGGGACTACGGATTTGGAACAAACGGAAACCCTACCAAACGCTCAGAAGAACTTCGAGAAGATAACGTTCAGAACCCAATTGAGCCAAACTACAAGATACAATCAATCTTTGGTACAACGTTTCCATGAAAAACAAAACGAAATGGGAATGCCGCTGCCACGTCATAATCCAACCCAATACAAGTAAACTTTGATTGACATGAAAAAGTGTACATTTCCAAGTACATATGCCACATAAACATGAGGAAACACTTTAAAATATACATATTATTAAGTTTACAAATCAAAAGGAAACATCGTATTAAGATACATTTAGGGTTTCCAACTTGTCGAGAAGCTATACCAAAAACAAAAGAGTTTCTAACTAGCTCAACTCATTCCTCAAAACATTGAAGTTCCAAAAGATGGTTCCCTGTAAGGAAAACAAAGATAACGGGGAGGGGGTGAGCTTACGCTCAATGAGGTACCAAAATAATAGCAAGTAAGAATCATGGAACCTCATATTCAATTAGTCACATACGCAAATCAAATAAAGAAATGAACAACACCATAGATAGAAAGGATACGGGTGGCTTTCAGGGGCCAAATTCCCATTTGCTTCACTAAAGCTTGATCAAATAATAGTTGACACTCCGTCAACTTCCAAATAAAGTAACCAATCCAATCCAGTAGAGCACCATTTTACACCAAAATCCCGCTCGCCACACATACCCCTTACCTGGCCCGAACACCTCAACAGAAACAGACGTGGTAATACTCGAGTATACCGGAATCAAGAGTCTCAATACCCAAAGATTCCTAGAAACAGACTACCGTGGTTCGTTATCTAATCGACCTGACCCTTGCCGGTTCGACTCGAGTAACTAGCCACAGGTGTTGATCTCAGAGGTCACAGACTTATACAGAGAACAGATACAGAGAGCAAATACAGACTTATACAGTATGCAGGAAACAAATAAAACATACGAGAGAAACGAGAGTGATAAAGTACACTCTCATTTCATATAGAGTATACAGAAGTCACGGATAGCCAAATAAGCAACAAATTAGGGAAGTGGTACACTCACCAGTTCAAGGAAACAAATTCAAACGTTCCCCCCGAAGTACTTCCTGGATCACCAGCACGTCTTAAAATGATCAAAGTAAAACAATTATGGTTCCTTGGGAACGACATTCACAAATGAAACTCAATTATGAGTCGTATGCCTAACCAAACGAACTACGAAGGTAAGGGTGCAAAAGCATGATTTTGAGAACGAAAAGGTAACGAGAGGACCTAGGGCTTGAACGACCCAAAAGCCCTTCATTTCTATCAAAAGGCAACTCAAACTTAAAGGAATCGCGTAGCCCTAAAATTTTGGGCAGCATGCCCTCTGTATTTACCTATTTTCCAGCCATTTATGGCTTCATTGTTTTCCTCAACTCAGTCCAATTCAACACATCAGAAATCTCAATACAATAGCCCTTCAACTAGGCTCAAGTTCATCCAAATACAAAGCAAGTCTAGGAATGCAACTAGAAATCAAGTTTTAAGAACAAAAACTAAATAGCAGGTTTGATGTATCTTAGCGTATCGGTCATAACCGAATCTACGCTTATCGGATTGGGGTGAAATTTATACCGTTTCGAAACTGAGATGAAGAACTACAACTTTGATGAAGACCACTCAGTCCAGTTCGTAGTGTATCCTGGTCAAAATTTCAAATTACAGAACTAGAATCTCACATTCGGGCTAGTTAATCGCACTATACGTAAACGACAATAACTCAGGTTACTGAAGTCCGATTAAGGCGTTTCTAGGGCCGTTGGAAAGCTAAGACATAGCACTACAACTTCTATGTTTTGACCAAATACTAATTCAGTACAGATCAGGGTGAACAAACGTGATCAGATTGGTAAAATGTCGAAACTGGCCACAGAGCTCTACCTATGGTAGTCATGGGTATTTTTATCTTTTCACATGATATAGTGCTCGAATTGAACTGAAATTTTACAGGAAGTTATAAAACATCATTCCCTACAACTTTCACATTTTGAGCTAAGACTAATTCGGCCTCTAACATGGTCAAACAGAGCCGGGCAGAACAGAGCAAATTGGAAACTTAAAACTGAAATTTCCGCACAAAACTGAAATTTTTACGCAAACAAACACAACTAACATATAAAAACTTCATTTTACACCATCTCAAGCCATCATTCCTGGCCAACCAATGAATATCATATAAAAATAGAAAAATCCCCAAAAAAATCAGAAATTTATGTAACTCCACTTTAATCCATGAAATCTTCCATAAAATAGCATATTTAGCCACCAAACCCCCCTAATTTGACATTAACATGAACAAAGAGGAGGTTTGTAACCAAAGTACCTTGACACCTTAAGAAAGATGTTAATTTAGGGTTTTCTCCTCCAAATCAACTCCACCAAGATCTTGAAACTCCCTTAGCAAGTCACTTTAGTGGACAAATTCGAGATTTAATCGGTTGGATTTCACGTTATAAGCAAGAAATAGAAGATGAAAGTTGAAACTCTCTTTCTTTTTTCTCCCTAAGAGGTTCGGCCAAGAGGATGAAAATTGGAGATGATTTTGGGTCAAAATTGTTCTTTTAGTAAAGGTAAGAAAGTTAGGCAAGTCCACCATCCAATTGGGTCGTGACACATGGCACTTTTAATGGTTCAACCTTATCTTCTTTCTTCCAGTGGTTAAGCTATCTAACTAACTGTTAATTGTCTCCTACCACCTTGTAAAATAATATCACTTAATACAAAATGCCAATTAATCGCCCAAAAATTATCGTACTTAGCGCACTAGCGGGTCCCACGTCTACAACGCACTTCAAATTTATTATGAACTAATTTATACTATGAAAATGATTTAAAACCTATACTCACTTATAAAAATCTCTGGAAAATCAATATAATAGGTTATAATGAAGAAAATACATGCAGGGAAAATAAAATAAAATAATATAAAATAAGAAAAATTTACGGGTCGTCACAGTAGGCCTTCGCGGAGCTTCTTCCGTAAGCTTTCTTCACTGCGGTTCTTTCGAATCTCGACCATGTTGTCTCCTCCACTCCAGCGGCACTCTTCGGCATCCAATGCCACTTCAGAAAAATTAGTTCTCAAATTACATCCCGAGTATTTTTTTTCTGGGTTAGGAAAATTAAATCTGAAAGTTATGGAAGATTCGTGAGAGCTCTGCAAAATGCATTTAAAAAAAGTGAGAATTAGAGTAGAGAATCTTATTTTTAACTTTTACCCTCTGATTTTTGGGACTGGCTCAATATGCCTATTTATCTTTGAACTCCAATCGAAGCCTTGTGGTTTCCAATGTCCCATGCAACTGTAAATCTCCCTCTAATGCCGATGGAAGGAGCTCTCCTCCTTCGTCGCCCTCTTCTCCACTTTCTGTAATGACATATTTTGTCAACCCCAACTCAAGAAAAAATCCAACCATTCACATGAAATTGAAAACCCATGCAATGATAAAACCCAGAACACTTAAAAGTCAAAAAATAATAAGAAAAAGAGGTAAAACAATTTAAAAAAATGGAATTACGGAGATGGGATTAATTGGAAAAGTGTTTACCTTTTTGTTGTGCGTGCAGGAAAAATTGAGAGGGATTCTGTTGTAGATTTCTAGATAAGATTATGGAGGAAGACGCGTTGAAGGGAACAATTAAATAGGAAGATGATGAGTGAAAAAAATTGGTAGAGAAGGCCAAGAGAAGAATGAGAAAAGGGAATGGAGATTGCAGAGCTTTCAAGCGGTGGTGGTTCCATCGTTCCTCAAATCACGCCTGGTAAAGAAGGCCAAGCAAAGAAATAGAGGAAACAAGACCGAGAAAATTGCTGACCGAGAATGAGAGGAACTTTTCAAGACATTTCTGAAGCTACCAAAGAAAACTAAGAAGAAGAATAGAAGTTAAGAAGAAGAAGAAAGCTAAGAGAAAAGAAAGGATATTGCTGACCGCCCAACTGCCCACTAACCAATATGAATTGCTGACTGCCAAAATCGAGAGCCACGCGGACAGAACGCCCCGCAAAGTTACAATCCAAGAAAGCCACGCAGATAGAATCAAATTCCAGCAGAGCCACTGCATCCATCTGCAAAAGACCAAAACGCCCCTCAAAGCCACAACAACCACGGGATAACTGGTCCATTTTTCACTATTCATAAGCCGATTCACGCTTTATATATGTAAGATAAGATTAAGGGAGCAGCGTCGCTGCGATCGGATGCCATACCCGTGGTGTTATTAGTTTTTATTCATGTCCCTCTTTTGTAAAACACTACTTCTGAATGATTCAAAAGGATTAGCCCTTCCTCAGATGACTATAAACTCCTATCTTTGATTTGTAGTTTTCATTTGTAGAACTTGATTGATTCATTTTGTGATATGATAATTACATAATAATAGCCAAAAAGGTCTTGATCTAATGGTTAACATTAGAGTTACAAGATTTAAAGGTTCTAGGTTCTAATTTCCTTTCTCCCTTTTGGTTTTTTAAATCCTACCCTTCCTCTGTTAGAAGAAAAATTATATAATAACTTGAATTCGCTAAGTATTACCCAACATATATACTCATATCAGAAGAACAAATTCTCTTAATTGGATATGTTGATCGATTTCTTTTTATTGATGCTAACTTCATTCACTTATGCTTCAAAGACTTGAAAAGAAATTAAATCAAACCTTTGTCTGAGTTCATATTCTGTCAATCTTTCTTTTGTTTGGAACATAATATTTACATAGTCAAAGTATAAAACTTTGAATTGAAAGCAATTAATCACATAAATTAAACTATTCAACTACAATTGATTAATCAATTCTTCAAAATCAAAATGACAAACTAAAATATATAATTAAGTAAAAATAGGAGAAAAAATATTTATACAAATAATGCTAGCATAAGGAAAAAAAAGGGTAGTGCCATACTGCCATGTCCATATGGAGAAGAAAAGTAGACCAAAGAAAGGAAGAGAATATACAAGGAATGGATGATTAGTGATGATCTTACTCAATAAAGGACCAGGATACTTGATCATTAGTTTTAGGGGTGAAGTGTTGATAAAATCATATCAAGTGAGCAAAGTGTACCTAACCATTTTTCTAGGGGAGCTTAGTCTACTTAAGCCTTGTCTATGTCAAGGTTGAGATGATAGACTTGTTTAGTCGTCTGATGTACCACGAAAAGTAAAAGGAAAATGTAGAGAGACAAAAGGGGTGTATGCCTCACTCTTCAAAGGTTTTCAAGCGCACAAGCAAACGCAATATGTTGATCATATCTAGACCAACAATGTATTAAAAAAATGGAAAAATCTTTCAAAATGTTTCTTACATTTTGTAAAATAATTTTTTTATCCCTTGCTTTTAAAAGTGTAGTTTTACGTCACTTACAAATTCACATTGGTCAAATTTGATCTCTACATAAGTTTCTGACTAGTGTTTGCTCGGAATCCACTACGTGCCTTGTACGTGATCATTTTTTAGGAGCAAAATTTTCAAATCACATTTCACATAATTCAATTCATAGTCCGTCATATTTCACAAAATAAATTTTTTTGTTTCTCATATTTCATAAAATGAATTTTTTCATCTCTCATTGATCATGTGTACGAATAGTTTTTTCCTTATTTTTGAAAATCGATGTATATGTCTATTTGATTTCACTTGAACAGTATAAAGTCATAGATCTATCTCAAACAGATTCTACACAAGAACCTTTAGATCTATCCATAGATCTGTTTCAAACAACCCAGACATTACAATCCTCTCATAAACTCTCAGAATCCATAGATCCATCAAAATCAAACTATATAAACCCAATAGATATAGATCTACCAGATTCTCCCGTAGATCTATCAAACCCAGTAGATTTACCAAACCAAGAGTCTGTTAAAACTTCCAAACTTTTGATTTCCGGACAATCAATTGATAATTCTGTTAATTCTACTTGTATTGATATTAGAAAAGACATAGGAAATTCCTTAGACGTAGGATATTCCTCAATAAATGTCTTAAATAAAAATCAACCTAGTACTAAACCTATAACGGTTAAAGATCTTCAAACAGAAATTGCTTCCCTCAAAAGAGAGGTTAAGAATATTGAAAAAATACTGAAGAAGATATTTCTTCTCAGATATCTTATAAAAAATATTTTGTTCTTATAAGACTGGTCATTAGTGACAATTATATTGTAGAAACAGAAGCTTTATTTGATACAGGAGCTGATCTCAGCTGTATTCAATAAGGTCTAATTCCAACAAGGTTTTTTGAAAAAACAAAAGAAAGCCTTAGAGGAGCCAACGGATCCCAATTAAACATTTAGTTCAAACTTTCAAACGTTCAAGTCCAATTCCCTTCAAACGTTCAAGTCCAGAAAGATGAATTCAGAAAGTTAGTTGTTAGTTCAGGCGGTATAACCAGCCATATATGGTTAGTATAATCAAAACAAATAAAAACAAGTAAATGAATATGAATGTAGGTGGCTCAGCCAACCATTTGATTGAATTAAAATACAAGAATGTAAAGAAGACTTACAAGGATATGAAGCTTCAAGCTCCTTTGTTTGATGAAAACTAAAAATCTAAAAACTAGTTTGTAGAGAGAGGGAGGAGGATTCTTCAAGCTAGAGAGAGAAGTAGTCTTGAAGAATTGGTGTAAGAATGGTGTGTGGAATGTGTTGGGTTTGAGGGGTATTTATAGCAAAATTTCCGTAGTGCTACAGTACCCGCTACAGTGCGCGCTACAGTGCAACGTTTGTCTTTTGTTGCCGTGTTTGCACAGTAACTTGCCGGATTGCTACAGTGCCTCCGGTGCTACAGTAAAATGATTTTTTTCTGAATTTTGTTCCGATTGAGCCAGCTTGAATATCTTGTTTTTAGAAGATAGTTGCGGATAGCTCTTGTTTTGTTTCTTGAATCATTTTGTCAATCTCAGGTGCTTGTGTTCCCCCTTGATGCTTGATCCAATGTTTGTGAAGAATTAGTCTCTGAATTTTTCTTCGCCTTATGAAGCTTTGATCCTTCAAACTGCGAATTGTGTTGTTTGTTGGTTTTGCAACAACGTTGTTATGTTGATACCGAAGATAGGGAGGAATGCTTTGTCCAGTTTCAAAGTTGTAAAATACAACATTGAAGAATCTGATCCTATCTTCCCTGCATTGATGTTTGTGAGAATAATATTCTTTTGCGATAGAATTATTGGCAAGGTATTGAGGTATCCATTCTTCGACTGTTGCTGAATTTGTCATTCTTCCTGCAAAACAGAATTTGTTAGTTTTTTAGAAAAAGGTAGGAGGGCATTTGAATCAAGAAGTTGGGGTATTATGCCCTCGTTTGTAGTAAGATAAGGAACAAGTTTTTGAATAAAAGGTGTTCCAAGAATAACATTATTGGATAGTTTTTTGGCTAGAAGAAATATATTTGGAATGGATAAGGAGGAGAATTGGATTTGAACATTTGTTAACTTGAAGTTAATTTCAAGTTTGGATCCATTAGCTCCTCTGAGAATTTCTTTGTTTTGTTCAAAGAATTGAGGTGGGATAAGGCTTTCAAGAATACAACTTTGGTCTGTCCCTGTATCAAATAGGGCTTCAGTTTCGATCACGTAATTATTATTAATTAGCAATCGAATCTGGACCAAATAATCCTTGTCTTCCTTGAGTTTTTTAGAAAGTTGTTCTAGGAATTCAGAATCCTCTTGATTGATAGGTTCCTCAATTGGTGTTAGGTTTTGAAGAACAAGGTTGTTAAGGTCTTGTTTGGCTTTAATTGATCTAATCTCTTCTTTGAGCAGATCAATTTCTGTTTGAAGGTGTTGTAGGGTTAAAGGTTTAATAGATTTGGAAGGAAACCTATCAAGAATATCTGTGAGATTATAGGTTTTAAGAATTCTAGGGTCTCTGGCTAAGGGATTTGAAGAATTTGTGGCTTGGTTCAGGGATTTTTTGAATTTGTCTAAATAGAGTTGTCTTTTCTCTATTTCAGAAGTATCTTCAATGATGTCAAGAAGAAGGTTTTGATCTTTTGTCAAAACATTGATGGTAGGACCTCCTTCTTCTTTGTCACTGGTGGTATGAGAGGAAGAAGATGTTGAAATATCATCTTCTAACTGATTGAGATAATCTTCTTCTCTTTCAGAATCATCAGTTTCTGATTCGATTAGAAGATTTGATATTTGGATTTTAACTTGGTCATCTAGCCCTAAGGTACTGATCCTTTGGTTAAGTTTACAGTAACGGGCTATATGTCCGGGTTTGTGGCATTTGTAGCAAACTGGAGAGGAGTTTGTTATTTGAGGAGACTGGATGGGTGGAGACTGTATGGGTAAAGGTTGTTTGGGCTGATATTTCTTTTTGTATATAGGAGGTTTTTCAAAATGTTTTGTGGGTTTGGGCCGTTTGTGAGGTTTTTTGTAGCAACTGGGTAACCCAAACTGTTCACAAAAGGATCCAAGATCTTTTCTCCTTTGGGCTCGATCCTTTGCTAGTTGTCTGAGCATCTTGTCTTGTCTGCACACTTTAAGTGCCACTTGTTGAATTTGACTTGTTAACTGTCCATAAGTTATTTCTTCCCATGGTACAGTTTCATTGTATTGAGTCCTTAGTTCTTCTCGAACAAGGTCTCTTAAAGATTTTGGAAGACCATCAAGGAATTTTTCCTTCCAATAGGCCTTGTTGCCATCTGTCCTGGAATA